GCTAGAAGGGCAATTACCCAGTGCACAGTTGTTCTGACACCATGTATTCATATGAGATTGCCCGGTCCAGCTTCCTGTGGCTTTGCACCCTCCAGTAGGAGGTTTTGGTGTTGCCGCCGAGGTAGCTGGTTCTTGTGTCGTGCCTACCACTGTCATCATAGGTGTATCTGGGTCGGGCTCCTCCGTCGAGGGAGCCGGACCTCCTGCTGGTACGATCCTGATATCTGCGCAGTTCACAAAGGTCTCTTGTCTCTTCGCCAGTCCTTCTCCGCAAACGCCCTCGTCATTACAACCCCAGTTGTTGCCCACTGTCCACCACCATTGCACCACGCAGTGATCACATGTCAGGCCTTCTGGTAGCATGAGCTTAATCTTGAACACTCCATCCCTGGAAGAGTGAAGCGGCCATGTGTTGGAACCATCAGGCTGCAACAGAATGTGCTTCAGTTGTTCTTGAGTGATGGGACGCTTCTCCACCTTGCCCACGCTAAAGCGAAAGAACCCTTGATGATTTGAAGTGATCTTAACGCTGACCTCGATCTGTTGTCCTTCTTTGTATGTCTTGGTTACGAAACGGTCCTTCGCGTACCTGCCAGGGTAGACATACCTCGGGTTTTTAAGATGATACGCATCTCCACAAACGCCACATTTGCCTTTGTTCTTACTCCACTGGACGCTAAAGCCTCCGCAATTCAACTCGTTATCTGTGTACTGCGCTGGACGATTGGGAAAAAATCTCCATGCGGAGTTTCTGCTGGCGGGATCTATCAGCATGCCATGACCGAGTATCAAGGTAACCAAGCTTGCGCCAATGAAAAGACGAAAGATTTCTCTCGCTCTCATTGTCTCCAAGTGTGAACTAGACAAAGCTCTAGAACAAATGAAGCTCACAACTTTCTCAAGTGTTAATTTGGTGATTCTAAACTTTTTACACGACCAGTGTCACGTCAAGCAAACAGCTGTGCTTTATGACAAAAATATTTGGCGAAGCGTAAAAACTGGGAGGGCTTTGCTCACAATCGCGAAGTTGTTGGTCAAAGCTGTATAAGCAAGGCTTTTGTGTCGTAAGCTTCTTGTACAAATGCAGCGCGGTTTGTTAGCCTTGTATTGACGTGCAATATTTATAGAGGCAGGCCAGGAACTCAGTCGCCTGAACAAACTTCCCGCACGAAACATCTTTATGAAAGCGGAAACCTTATATTAATCTCAACTCCAACACTTGGCGAGTATGAATTGCCCAATATCAGTGCTAATGACAAAATTAGAAATACAACTTGAAAATGATGTTCAAAATCATGATATTAGCTATCGGTTAAAATAACTATTTACAAGACTGACTAAGTTGAGAATTCCGTAAACGAAAAAATGCAGAGGTTTTTTTGTTGTTGTCTTAATGAAGTAAACTACGAAACTGTTGATGAAAACTTAATCAACTTTGAAAACGGCCATGATTTTTTTCCCTTAATTTTGAAGTATTCTAACCTTTTCATCCAATAGACATTTTAGGACGTCTTAAGCTTTTACAAAAACTAACATTAAGAAAGGCTACAAGCCCCGTTGGTTCGTCAGCCACCTATTTAACGAGTCGTTCACATTTGATTTTGCCTAGGCCTTTCCACAGATATCCGGATATTTTTTGGTATATTTAGAAGTTTCCGAGATATTTAGAAATATTAAGATATTTTAGATATTTTAGGGATATTTAGAAATATTCATAGCTTTTTTTGGCTAAGCCCTGTGTTTTCCTCGCTATTCCTTTGAAACAAGACTCAGTTTTATGCCAGAAACAATCCAGTTGAGCGATTTTCCCACTCGCAAAAAGTATTGCATATCAATAAAAGCTCTAAAAGAGCAATTTTCGAAAATGGCGGATGTTGGTAACTTCGAAGCGCCTAAATCTCTTCCTCAATGCCTAATACCGCAAGAAAATTTTGAAAATTTCGGCCTAAGTGGTTCAAAATGGGTGTATCTTTACGACAAAAATAAGAGATATTTAGAGTGCTTTCGAGATATTTAGAACATTTTTTGTGATATTTGGGAGATTTTTTTTAGAATTTCCGGCAAGATATTGAAGCGATCTTACGTGATATTTGTGGAGAGGCCTAATTTTCCCCGAAGGCAGCCTTGTAAGGGCATTTTGTTTCAAAGATTATCAACAAAAGCCCTTCACAATGCCTTCAACATCGCTCTGAACTATGAGACAGGTCCGAAGCAGGGTATTGATCTACGGGTCAGGTCTTAAATAGGGCATCAAATCTTTGGTCAGGTCATAAATAGAGTTGGGAAAATCACAGATTTTGGTCTTAAATAGGGTAAGAGGAGGCGGGCTGCACACCCCCACCCAATTTTTCTAGGAGTTCCCCCGGGTGCTAAATGTGTTAAATGCACTACTCTAGCTTTAATCAATGTGTTAATTACTTCATTCATTCATTCACTCATTGATTCACTCATTCATTTACTCTTTCTTTCCTTGCTTTTTTCATTCATGGTGAAATCCTAATATCGGTGCAGTTCACAAAGGTCTCTTGCGTCTTCCCCAAGCCCACTCCGCAGTCGCCGTCCTCATTTTAGATTAAAATCTAGCTAGCCATTTTGCTTGACTAGTGTCATGTCAAGCGAACAGCTGTGTTTTTCGACAAAAAAATATTGGTGAAACGTAAATACTGGGAGATCTTTGTTCAAAATCGCGAAGTGGAAGGATGGTCAAAGCTGTGTAAGCAAGGCTTTTGTGTTGTTTGAGATTGTAAGTTTCTTGGGCAAATGCAGTACGGTTTGTTAACCCTGTATTGACGTGCAAGATTTATACAGGCAGTTTAGGAACTCGGTCGCCTGAGCAAACTTCCCGCAGCAAAGATTTCTCAGTAGAGCCGGGAAACCTTATATAACAACACTTTGTAACTAGTATCAGAAGCATATGACCTAGAACTAGAACTAGGTGATATGCTTCTGCTAGTATATATCGGTTATTGTCCAAGCGTGAGGTCAAGATGGCTTGTTATGGACCGAGACGGAGTCGAGGTCCATAAACACGCAAAAAAAAGAGAATGCATGAGGCTAATGTCCAGCCATCTTGACCAAACAAGCTTGGTCAATAAAGGATTAATTATATGGAAAAAGAACACTAAAAGATACTCGGGTAGTCAATCACAGCGCCGGATTCGGCTCATCCTGTCCGCTCACGGAAAAAATAAAATAAATAGTAATATTCCAATATCAATGCTGATGACGAAATAGGAAATACAAATTGTAATATTAGCTATTGGCTAAAGTAACTATTCACAATGGTGAATGAGGTTAAAATACCTTCAACGAAAAAAAAAGCGGATATTTTTTTTGGCTTAATTTAGTCATCTTCAAAACCGTTGATAATGACTTGATTATCATCGAAAACGGTCCGGATTTTTTTCCCTTTTTTAAGTAATTGAACCTTTTCAGCGTTGTTAATAGACATTTTAGACATTTACGAACGTCCCAAGATTTTACAGACAAATATTTGGAAAGGCTGCGCGTTACATGGTTCATCAACGTCCCATGTAGCAAATCGTTCATATTTTGTCCGAAGACAGAGCCAGCTTGTTTGAAAAATCATTTAGAAAGCTCCAGCAATTTTGTCGTATTTAGAAATTTGCGAAAATTCAGATGTCCTCAAATTAAAGGTTTATAATGTTCTAAAGTGAGAAATGCTGGACTAAAAATTGAAAGACGAGATGACTATAACTTATAACACAATATTCGAAATTAGCTTTAATATACGGAAGAAGTTTAATCTCCTACTTTGAAAAACAAGCCGGCGCAAACTACCATCCAGTGGTCAGCGTTGAATTGTCTCTGCGAAGGTCAGTTCATACTTGCTCAGTTGATAGTGTAATTTATTTTCCTGGGCGTATTCACTCGGTGGTGATTTTATATGTTGGAAAGCGCTTTCAACCTTTCGATCAACCGGAGCGAGCTGAAAATAGCGAGAGGGGTTTAACGTGGGTAATCATTTATCGCGTTGCGCGCGCTAGTGGTATGTTTTGAATGCCGTTTTTGCAATTGGTTTTACACCCAGCTGTTCCTCTCAAACTTTTTAAATGTCATATGCAAAGATGTAATAGTATTTTACTACCATCTCTTTTTAAATCAAATTAAAATTTTGTGAGAAACATCACTTCAATATGTTTAACTACACTTCAAAAAGTAGACCGTGACGCCCTCATAAATTTTTTCAATTTCAATGCAAATTGGTCATGTTGTCCGCCCGAAAGTGCAAACATTGGAAATAAGACAATGCTTGGAAAATCGGCTCGTGGGAATTTCTTAGTCTAGTGGAAAACGCGACAGGTCAAAATAGAAATAAGCGTTCTTTCAGATCGTCCCGTACTTTTCGTCTATCAAGTTTCTCCAGGTAATGTTGTAGGCGACATTTTAGGGGACTGTGAGAGGAATATTTCTGAAGAAAACTCTGTCTCGCTTACGAGTGTAAATATTGTTTGGGTGCTGACCATTTGCATAACTGCCCACATTTTTTAATGGGTTTTTTGTTGGCTTAGAACGCTAGTCTCTTCTCCAATAATCACTCTTTTGAATTTTCAGCGCGGCAAAAGAGTAATACAACCAGTGACGTCATAAGACTGTTTTGGCCGCGTCACGATGGCCGCCAGTTTTGGGCTCAATCAGCCAACTTCGAAAAAGCAGGGCCTTAACATGGTGTATGACTTTCATAGTCGTTCGAGTTCATTCCGGTTTTCCGTATGTGGCTGGGTCCCAAAATCTTGCTCTCGTTTTACTGGCAACTTTCTCGTGGAGTTCTGGTCAAACCCGGAAACTTTCTCCACCGCAGAGGCTTAAAGGCTTTTTTTTTTTCGGGTGGGGAGTCCGCTGAACGATATGAGTGCAGGCGCAGGGTTACGTGAGGGGCGACGGTGCATGCACTCACCTCGCACGGCGGCTTTCTATAAAGAACCTTTTGAACCTTTGCCTCGTAGATGCGAGCACGTGGCGTAGGAGGGGTGGTAAAACCATGTTTGCAAGCTGGAAAGAATTGTTGTCACATGCATGGCCTTATACGCCAACCGCGCTCTAGATAACAATGATGATGAAAAAACAGTTGTATGAAGGCCGTCGATAGGTTTCATCATCTTTCGCGTTTCTCTCCTCCTAGTTTGACCAGGGCTGGGATGACAGTCGTTGGCACTCTCTATCATTCTTCTAGTGAGGCATTTAATCGTTCAGAAAAATTTCAAACTGTGTATCATCCATTCCGGTTTAAATTTTCCCAGCTTGTCGGATAGGATCTTCATTACATGTGGCGAGTATGATTCTTCTAAATAAAATAAATTAAAGGTAGCTTAATTTGGCTATGTTTCAGAAAGGGATAACTGCGGTACAAGATAACATCCTGAGAGGTTTAAATCCAAATTTTTCGTCAACACTTCTCTGCACTGACTACGTGTATTGCCATTAATTTGTTTGCACGATTTGTTTCGGGAGTGGAGGATCCCTTTAAAAGTAATTAAATCGCTCTAGTTAATCGTCAATATATATATAAAAAAAAACAACTGCATGGGGTAAAAGTTTTATTTTAATTTTCTTCACGTGAAGGAGTTACAAGCATTTCGCGTCTACAATACACCGCTGGTCAACTTGCCAATTTCCTAGCAGGCGCACATGTTGCTAGGGCAGTAACCGCTGCCACATGTTCGCTTGCACCAGTCATCCATGCTTGCATTTCCTTTCCAGGGACCAGTAGCTTTACATTTACTGGGGTCTGGCGCATCTGTGGCAGGGGGCTTCGTCGGCGGCCGCTTGGTTGGTGGAGGGAAGCGCGTCGGTGGAACGCTGCCGTCACTCTTCGTGATGGTGACGTCAGCACAGTTGACAAATGTCTCCTGCTTCGCATTCCCGCCCAAACCACAATCTTTGTCGGTACAGCCCCAGTTGTTCCCAGTCCTCCACCATCATCGGAGAACACAACGGGCGCAGGTTAAGCCAGCGGGTAACTTGAGCTTGATTTTAAAAACATCGTTGCCTGAACCTAAAATGAAAACAGCATCATAAAGCACGTGTCTTAAGCAAGCGCAAGTATGTCATTCCTTTCACTTTCAACGTGAGGTCACTTTTCTATCTTATTCAACGCAAGATGTGATGAAAAACAGCTATTAAGGGATAAACTAGCAAACTTTCGGCTATTGATTAAAAAAGAATATTGGTTCAGAAAGTTTGAATTGTGTTTCGCACCAAAGGGATTCATAAAGAGCCTCAGTATTTTGTAGCCGCGGCTTTGTAATCGTGCGACAGAAGTCTGAGCAACACCAAGCGTTCTGGCCTGTTGACGTCTGTCGTCAAGATGGGAAAAAACAACAACAACACCGGTTTCTATGGATAAGAAACTAGGTTTTTGACACCCCTTACCTTTTGCTAGTTTCCAGTAGTCTTGACCGTTCGGTTGCTTCAGCAGGTAAACCAGTTTCTCCTCTGTGATGGGCTCTGTATCCAGCTCTCCGATCTTAAAGAAAAACGTCCCCATGTGATTGGAGGTAATCTCGATCAACACCTCAATCTCTTGGCCCTCTCTGTAGGTCTTGGTGATGATACCATTGGCGTATTTCCCTGGGTAAATGTGCGGTTGGTTCTTCTCGTGGTACGGGTCCCCGCAAACTCCACACTTCCCTCCGTTGGTTTTCCACTGCACATTAAATCCCCCACAGTTGAGCTCGTTATCCGTGTAGTGGGGCGGGTTAGGAAAGCCGTACCGCCAGGCTGAATTTCGGCTCGGCGGGTCGATCATGCGGCCATGACCGTGGATCGAAAAAACCAAGCGTAGAACAATTAGAATCTTAAAACCCGACTTGAGTTCCATGGCTGGTTGAGACAGTAAGGCACTCGATAGACTTCCAGAATCTTTTAAGCTGGACCAAACTGTACAGTAAGAGATTGACATCGTCTACACTTTGACAACTTCAAAGCTGATCTATTGAAACAGTATTTTCTGTTGTTTATCCACAAGTGCAGACTTCTGTCTTGTTGCTGACGGAGCGTCGTACACGGCACTTTGTTTACAGAATCTGTTTCGACTAGACCACACTGGTTGGCTCAGCCATGCTACGACATAATCATGTCACGTGGCTTAGCATCCAAATTGTGGCGTGTGCCTATTGACGCAAACATTCTCGTGTTTGGCATGTGCCCAGTTGGTATTTACATTTCACGTGTCTGGCATGTGCTTATCATGCAGTGCAGCTGACCAAAGAACAGAAGTGTTGTCTGTGTTAAGAAAGACAAGCTTTCAAGACCATAATAGTGCATTTGGCAAGTTTCTTTTTTCAAGTGTTGTGTCATTAAGTCGAAATACGTTGGCCGCTCAAGATGGAATTTCTTTTGGGGACTTGCCTAGATTGTAGTAACCGGTGTAATTGTGGGTCAACTACGTTAAAAGGTAAAGAAAAGCTAGAAATTCAATACAGCTCGACAAAGAAGATTAAAACAGTTTTTCTTTTTATTTAGTTTAGAACTTTAAAAGTGTATAATCTAGACCTATTAACTGGTAAGATAAATCTCCTTTAATATATACTTTCTTTTCCTCTGAATGCTTTTTTTGAAATAAAAATGGTTAAATCCGAGTGTTAAACGTGTGTAAACTTATCAGTACTTAACCACTGCCCCACCTCAACTCCGCTATTAGCACAGAGAGGCGAATGAATACGGTACTTCCTCCCCTGGTATAAGACAATTTTCAAGCATTAAATATTGGTACCCAGGGCCCAAAGTATCATTTTAGTTCATACTGACGTAATTACAGTTAATACTGATTAGTAGATCAATAGTTTAGATCTCGTTAGAAATTTACAATCCAGTTTTCGTGAATATATGAAACACCTAGGAAGGCCTTTCATTCTGTTTGCTTTTTGAAATATAAAACTTATCATGCAACATAAATAAAAATACAAATAATCTCTGTAATGGCACACTTGCACCGTACAATAAAGACCTATTTAAAAAATATATTACACATAAATCAATAAAATCGTTCATTTTTAACTATTTTTTTTGTTCTGAAGTGCCTCCTCATAAGCATAAAATTTCATGCGGTGTAAAGGTTAAAAGTTGTCTCAAAACTTGTACAACAAAATCAAACATTTTAAGACAAATTGCTAGCCTTTTTTACCTCACATTTATGTTTCCATGTCAAAAAGTTTCACCTTCAAAATAAAAGCGTTCATTGTGATCTGAACGCAATGATAAATAACCGTGACTGTGCTGATTTCATTTTGCCTCCTTTAATATCTAATACCTAGATTCATTCTCTTTTCTCTTGTAATTAGAAAGACAGCAAGAAAACACCAAAACCAACCATAAGGCCCCAACGGTCACGAAATTCGGAAAGAGTTTGCAACGAAAGGTGAACAGCTTAACGCCATTCCATAACGTCTCAACATTTTCTTTTGAGTCATTTCCATTATGGCAGAATCAAACGAAACTCCAGTCGGCTACATTTCAAACTTTCGCTAACTCACATGTGTTCTCATCGACCGTCGTGCTTCCCTTGTCGAATTTAAACC